GGCAACTGAGAACAGATGTTCTTCTTCTTTATGGCAGTCTTTTACATATTTGAAAAATTGCTATTATGTTCCTTTTCAGTCTACTTTTCACTAAACTAAACATAAATAAATCTATTTGCTGCTACATTGCTATTGGCACCTGAGCTCACAGGTTTAGTTAATTCACGTATGTCATCCAGAAAAGTAGTTAGCCATGTTACTCTGCAGTTAGGCAGAAGGCAGGGCAGGGTGTTGCCTTAGGGCATGTGTAGACCTGCTCTGGGAGGTGGAAGGGGAGCTTTAATTAAAGCAGCTCCAAGAGCCGCTATAATTAAAGCACCCAGAGCATCAAATGTATCAGCGTCTCTGTGCTTAAAAATGGCAACAGGGGCACTTTAACTAAAACTTGTCAAACCAGCTTTAAAGTACCCCCGGCCACCATTTTTCAGTGCTGGGGATCCTTATACACATGATGCTGGAGTGTGCTGGAGCAGGGTAATTACCATGCTCCAGCAGACTCAATTAATCAAGGTTGCTCTGACGCATTGTAATTACAAGGTATCACAGCAGCTCCTCTGCATATGTATAGGCACCCTTAGAGACTAATTTATTGAGAGAGGCATGCTGTTCAGCGAGGAACTTTCCTAGGTTACAACCTACTTTGTCAGTATCTGTGGCCCACCAAAAGTTATGCCTCTGAATGAGTTTGTCTCTCAGGTGCCACCCTGATCTGCTTTCTTCAAATATGTCTGCATGAGATTCAGTCTTAAACTTAGCTGCACTGTAGACATACCAGTAGCTTTTTCTGTCATATAACATTCTAATAATGACCACTATTCATGCATTTGTCCATTCACTCCACCCTATCGGGATTCATTCATGCTGCCCCCCTCTCAGTCTGGCCTTGCACACTCTGCCCTCTCTCACCAGGCCTCTTACATGCTGCCCCTCACTGGGCCATACCTAACCTGCCCTGCTCCCTTGAGTGACCAGGCTTGTCTACTCCTACTCCTTGGATGGCTGGCATACAGCCTCTTGGGCCTTGTCGTGACCCTCATCTGAACAGCAGCTAGCCAGTTCACCTTGCCCTGGGCGGAGGTCTGACCCACGTCTCTCTCCAGGTAACTCACTATTCTTGCCTCCTCATTAGGACCAACTACTTGCCCAAAGTTCTTCACTTCTGATCCAAACATGGCCTCACCATGTCTGAGGACTTATTGGGTCTCCCTCTGAACCAACACTTGGCTTCACCACATCTGAGGACTTACCAGGCTTTCAGCCTCTGGCCCAGTTGTGGCCTCAGGTGTCCATAGACTGACCTTGGCCTACCTGCCCCCTTCCTGGGGCTTTAATGTATGCCCTCCTACTAGGGCCTTCCCTTTCACATATGCCCTCTTGCTAGAGCTTTCCACATATGCTCTTTCACTAAGGTCACTCTGCATCTCTGCCCCTTCTTTGCTGGGGACTCTGGGGTCTTGAACACCATGGGACTCAGGTGTCCAGGGACATGCCTGGCCCCCGTGCCTGGCCCCAGGTCTGGGTAACCCACCAGGATGTGGGGGGTGGGGTTTTAAGGTGCCCCTCCTCACCTTTCACTGGGGAGGCAATTGGTCTGGCATTTCTGGGGAACTCACCATGGACAGTCCCACCAGGCCATCCTTCCCCAGCAGGGTGCAGTTTTCTATCATACACAGGACCAACGCAGACTTACTGCCTTGGTCTTACCCATACTGGGCTATGTGTTGTTCTTTCAACCTACTTTCTCGCTGAGCTTTCTTCCCTTAGACCGTGATGTCCCCACTCTATTGAGGGGACCTTCAGCCTCCCTAGGCCCTGGCCCCACCTCCAGGCCAGTTGGGGTGCCAGATAACCCATCATGGCCCAAGTCTGCCCCTCACATTGGGCTTCATTATCCTTCAGCCTTCTGGCCCTGGCCCTCTTGCATTGACCAGTCACAGTGTTCTGGTCCCATCACCACAGCAGTTGGCCTTCTTAGGCAGCAGGGTTCCCTTCCTGGGCCCCATCATACAGCCCTCTCTCTCTGGGATTACTCAGAGCTTACTCTGAGCCCCAGGGGTCTTCATAACATGGCTCTGCTCTCAGTTGGGCTCACCTGAGCCTCAGGCCTCACCCCTGCATGTTCCACATCAGGGGCTTGCCTAGGTCCTGTGTAGGCCTACAAGCCCCTTCCCAGTCTGGGGCTTATTCTATTTAGGCCCTAAGCCTTCTCTCTGGGGCTTGGGACTTCACTGGGCCCCCTAGGAACCTCCTGCCATCCCCATAGTTCCTCCCTTACCACCAAGTTCTTGTAAGTAGCAGCTCAGCTGGGTGTTGTTGCTCCCAGTTGCTTGCAGTTAACTGCTGGCTCAACCCAGTGGGCCTGGATCTAAAATGGCCACCTAATCAACCTGCTGGCTGCCTGCTCTCAGCTTTAAAATGGAAGGCAACCAAAGGTGCACTGCCACATACTCATTTAGAAATTCAATTTGCTGATGGCAACTCTTGAATTCTGGCTTTGTATACGAATAACTCAACTGCTGAAGAATAAGTCAAAGGGACTGGCTGATATCTTCAAACATGACTTGCATTTCTTTCTTTAGAGGTAGAATTTTCTTAGCCATAGTCTCTTTAGGTCATCCATTGATCCCGTATTCTGTGACTTCCATAGAGCTGTATGCCTTTCCTTGGCACAGTTTCAGTTACTAAGCTGAGGTAAACTATAGTGAACTATAAATAGTCTTAAACTAGAAAATGGTTCCATAGAAGCTTTGTGATTTGAGAGAGGGACAAATCTTAAAAATATATATATTGGTTTTATTAATTTAATATATTTATAGACATGGCAGGTACAGTAATGTTAACAACTGCCTTTTTGGATCACTTGCAGTTCTTATAAAAAGAAAAGAAGTTTTGATTTGACTTGAAATAAAAGTTTTTTTCAATTTAAAAAAATGTCATAAGGAAATATTTTTACTTTTTCGCATCTTTTTCTATTATTTCAATTAAAATTAATTGGCAAAATTGACAACAATTCATTAAATATTTTTAGTCAACTTCAATTTACTTTGTTCAGTGAAATTTTGGGGGGCAAAAATTTTCAAGTGTTAGTCATAAACTGTTGGGAATTGCCATTTGTACTAGTTGTCTTTTTAAATATTAAACAAGAATAAGCAAAATTAATATGAATATCTTTTTTTTCTAAGTGAAAAATGACGTATGCTTCTCATTGATTTGAAAACTCTGTCCTTAAATTGGTAGTAATTATTTTTTCTTTGTGGTAAAGTTATGCCTTTGGGATTAATAGGAATTAATTTTTGAGGACATAAAAACAATTCAATTCACAACACAGGAGAAGTCTCTATATAACATTTTTTGAGTATCACATATTCTGTGGAAGGGTGGATGTAGCTATCATCACTACATATGTAATGTGTGGGCATGTAAAGAAAAAACATTTTTTTTTTTTCTGTGGAAAGCCAAAACATTTATAACATCAGGCAATTAGACATAAAATGAAACAAAGGAAAAGAAACCCCTTGAACCTCCAGTCCACAAAAAATAAGACCTGAAGATAGCAGTTAACTAATTATTCAGATACCAATAGTTGACCAAGGAAGAATTAATGATGGTTTTCCACTCCCCATGCCTCAGCTATTTTCACAGCTGGGTGTCCTTGTCAGTGAATAATGTGATATGTACATAAAAGCAGCATCTTTCCCTTTTACCACTGTGCATGAACAAGCAAAGAGAACACAAAGTGACATCACATCTGGACCCTGACTCCCAGTAGGTAATTTAAATTTGTGTTCTAACAGTTCAGTCCTCACATATAAGTATGCATAGTCCTAATGGTGCCAATTCAACTGTATAAAAAGGGACACACGAATCTTCCCAGTTGAAATACTTGACTTGATGATTTTGTTCATGAAGGTGCTTAGCAAGTTCATTCCTTCACCATTTGATTAGGTTTTTGAGAAGTACTTGCTTGCCAACTATTAACAATTATAATTAACACTAGAACATCAGGAAAAGTTGCCTATGAGTTCTAAGTGATGACATTCTGGCCCTATTGAAATGAATGGCAAAACTCCCATTTGACTTCACTGGGGCCAGGTTTTTACCTCAGGTCTTTTTTTTTTTTAACTCAGAACTTATAGAAGCTAATTTTAATCAAAGAACAACAGGATTTTCTTCTTAAAAGGTGTTTGATTTATATTCTGCCTATAGCACAACAATGATTAGGAACCCTCTCTATAAAGCCAATAAGGTTCTTAAATGGCCTATATTGTCTACTTTCTGATGTAAATTAAAGCATGTTTTCTAATGCCCCCATCTTTTCATGAGGCTTTTTTAAAACTCTCTGCAGTATAAAACTACCTTGTCTCCACTTCTAAGTAGTGCTTGCTTCCTTTACTGCCAAATTATAGTGTTTTCCAGCAATAGTTCTTGAGATCCTTTCTTCCTAAGGTTGCTGTTTAAGACCAGACAGGGTAATAGCCCTTCTGTTTTCAGGTCACTTGCTTATAACTGAGCTGGGCCAGATCCACTACTCAGTTCATGGAATCCAGAACTTTGTGTGAAGGCATAGGTTCCCTTTGTAGTGCCTGGGGGACAATTGGGTTCCTTAGAATGACAAAACAGTCAGCCAGCTGAGCAGGAAGTGACATAATGACAGCATGCTCAGTAATGCAGCTACTTAAAGTAAGCTAATAGGAGATGCTCATGGTAGATATTCTTTAATCATCTGTTCATGGGCTATACCTTGCCAGGAGGAGAAGATATCTAGCTAGGAGTACATAAATATGGTTCAGTGAGAGTTTTAAAAAAGCCTCATGGAAAACAGATGGCCCAGTGATCTTTTTATACATTGCATTTAGTAGTCATTGGATAAATAGAAATAGGATAGCCTTGTGGATGGCAGTAGCCAAGGTTAGAATCTATGCCCTATGGATGTGAGGTGCCTCCCTGGGGGCACCTCACATCCAGCCGACCCCCTTTCTGGAGCACACCCACAAGCCTGGGGGTAACATTGCCACCACCCAGGGTCTGGATTGATCTTGACTGTGCCCCGTGAGAAACACAGGCTTAGTAGTCCTTGAGGGGTACTCAACCCACTGCCAGAACTTGGGGTGCTTCCCTCAGTCTAAAGCACCAATAGTGGTCTCCTTTAGTCAGCTGAACCAAGGGGACCCCAAGGCATAATCTAGACCCTCTCCCAATAAGTCTCCCATGCTAGCTACAGAAGAGAATTTTATTGGTTACAAGGAGTAGATTTGGAATAGAGTACAGGGTAGAGCAATATCAGAGAAATACCTAAAAGCAAAAAGTGGCGTGGTAGTCTTTGATCATGCATCTGAGTTACTGCAAGCTATATATCTAGTTAGATCTCAAGTAGCTTACTCACACATATCATCCAGAGGCAGGTGGAGATTCCCTTTGGAGGCAGGCAGTTTATTGACCATGAGTTGAGCGAGAGAGAGCGTTTCAGATGGTCCAACTTCTCTGAGAGTTCTCATCATAGCTGCTGCCCTGCCTCTTGGGCAGTCCTTAACTTACATAGCCCGGGTGTACACAGGTTTGTACGTCCGTCTCCAATTGAGGGAATTATTGGCAGAGCAGTGTGCTGTGGAGGGACACAACAGCCCAGCAGCTGCCTTTGTCTCCTATAGAGTCAGGTCCAGTCAATCAATTACTTAACTATATACAGATTTATTATCACAACAAAACCATTAAAGTATAAGGATATATCTATATATATAAAATCTATGTACAAGTTTACAAAACAATAAAACCTATAATATATAGATATAGATATACCACACCCAGTTGTTGGGGGGAGGGGGAGCCTTCCCTGTCGAAACCCTCTCTCCAGGGTAACTTACTACTACTGCACAATCCCAGAGGGTTGCCTCTTGTTCTCCAGGTCAAGCTCTGTCCCTGCCAGGTTTTTCTGCTGCCTGACTCTGCTGCCACTGTCCATAGGCACCACTGTGTGTAGTGGATGCTTCATCCTATGCTAGGGGTTGGAGGCCTAGACAGCCTTGTGCAGCATCATGGCTTGGTCTGTTCCTGGACCCTCTTGGCTGTGTCATCTGCACTGAGCTGCTGCCCCGTGTCAGCAGCTATAGACCTGAGCCGCCTTAAGCAGCTCCCAGGGTCTCTCACCCTCCATGCAGCACCTTCTGCACTGAGTTCCCAGCCTCATTCTGAGGGTTGAGGACCTGAGTGACCCCAGGGGCTCCAAAGATCCTGCTCCATGCACCGGCCTGTGCGCCTTGTCTCTAGCCACATACCAGAGGTTGCAGACCCAAGCCGCCTCATGCGGCTCCCAGGGTCTGGATGCCATAGGTTGTGCTGCGCACCGAGAACCTAACCGCTGAAGCCATCCCCCACTCCCTGCTGATAGAAGTCTCCAGTGGCTCTTCCTGGGTTACTGCTTTGCCTTGCTGAGCAGCTCTCCTCAGCTCTTCTAAACCCCACTTTTTTCTCTTCTCAGTCTCCAACGCATCTGCCCTGTGTGCTGGGCATGCAGCTCCTTTTATATGCTCCAGGGCTCCACCCCTGAAGTCTTCCAGACCTGACAGTTTGCAATCTTCAATCAGGTGTGGGGGAACTCTTCTCGCCCTTCCCTCAGAAAAGGGGCATGATGTTATTTCTGTTGCTGCCTCCTGATTGGTGCGTGGGCTCCACCAATCAAAACAGCAAGATCTCAAGCCTGGGATTCAACCCAAGCTCTGAAAGGTAAGCCTGCTACACTTATATAGACCTTATGACCTCATTTACCTGATCCAATTAAGGGCAGCAATTGTTGGCTGCCAACCAACCAATTTGAAATACATCACTGGTTACCAAGTAGACTGGCAGGGTCTCAAGCCCCCTCCCAGTCATGATGATGTTGCTTAGAACGATAGGGAGTTTAAGCCCCCAACCAGGTATGTGAGGCCAGTCACGTAGGCAGAGAGAGCAGGTTTCTCCTTCCCTCAGGAATGTAGCCAGTTCAGGTTACAACTCAGGGTTACCTGAAGCTGATGGGGGCCAGTGGTGTCTGCCTTCTGCAGTGACCATGGTAACCAAATTGTCAGATTAGGCATCCACCTGATAGCAGAGTTTGGGGAGAGACAGAGATGGCATTCTGCCACAGGATGCTCCTGCACACATCCCAGAAAGCTGCAGGAACCATCAGCAACCCCTCCCCCCCATCATCTGGTGACTGAGCAGTTGCTGCAGGGAGAGGGGCAAGGGAGCTGCCCTGATGCTGTCTTGGGAGGGGCTGGTCCCAGTGTGCATGGCAGGAGGGCTCTCTTCCCCTCTTTTGACAGCTGTAGTCAGAAGCTGCAGCAGGGGACTTCCTGGCTAGCTTTGCACCATACCAGGACCCTGGGTGGGGGAGGAAGGGAGCCCCTCCTACCATACAGACCCAGCCTGCCCCTGCCCCAGGACCTGAACCAGCAAGCTATGGGGTGGGGTCTCTTGCAACAGTGAGTGTTCCCTTCCCAGTGGCCCCAGTTTCCAGCACTGTGAAAAGCTGGTTGGGCAGCCCCATGCTGCAGCTCCTGCCTGCAGCATTCCAGAGGCTGGAGCAGGGGGGAAGGGAGCCCTGTCCCCAAGATCCCAGCCAGCAAACTGGGGGGGAGGAGGCCAGCAGTAGCAGGGACTCCCTTCCTCTACACTCCAGCCTTTTGACAGCTGCATGCTGCAGCTACCAGGAACTGGGGCTGAGGGGATGGAAACTGGAGCGTCTCTGCCATGTGGATCCAACTCAGCCCCCACCAAGACCCAAGCCCACAAGTTTGGGGTTGAAGATCCATGCAGCAGAGAGACTCTGTTACCCACACAGTTTCTGGTGCAGTGAAAAGTGATGCAGCTCCTTCCCGCAGCTGGGGAAATGGAGCCTAGCTGTGATGTGGACCTGGCTCAGCCCCCACCAAGACCTAAACCCACAAGCTTTGCAGGGATCCATGCAGCAGAGAGGCTCTGTTTCCCCACCCTCTCTCCCAGCTGCATAGGGAAGAGATAGAGCCTGTTCTGTCGCCTCTTTTTGATAACCCAGGGGTGGGGCTCCAGCACTTACCTGGAGCAGATGGAAACCAGCTGAGGCTAGAAAACTGCCCAGCAGGGGCCCCTGGAGTGGCAGTAGAATGTGACCACACTGAAGTGTGATGGATGTGATACAGATGTTAAAAAAGCACTTTAACTTAAAGCACTTTAATCTAATACCATATCTATTGAGAGCAGGATCCACCATTCAAAAAAACTTTAAGTGTCATGAACGTCTGTTCTGCTATTATTTTAAAGTGTTTTCTGCAGGCTTAATGCATGTTAAATGTAACATCTGTACCTAGCCTAAGTCTTTCAGGGCAACTTGTCTCCCAGCCCTCTTAATATTGAAACTCTGTAATATTGTACATTCATCCCATACTCATTTATTGTAGGCTCATGAAATGTGAAAACTTCTCCTTGTTTTTATGAAAGCCTTGAAGAAGCATGACAAGTAGTCTACACTGCATCTTTCTTGAAGGTGGAATCCTTTATTTTTTAGGTGAAGCAGCCTGCATTGCTGTGTAGCATCTGGTAGTTACCTCAAGCAATGCAACACATGCAACTCTGTATTTAAAGCTGTCTTACAAAATGACTATAAATAGTAAAGGCTGCAAATTCCATGATACTAATAGGGTCAGTAACTAGGAGCATATTTTTCTTTTTGAAAGTTAAATTGTGATTCACTGGGTGGCAGTGCTGAAATATGTGTTTTTAGGGTTTCTTTTTTTTAAGAATCTTTGAGAAAGGAAAAGTATCATTTTGCAACATCCATTTTAACTGCCATTGATGGAAAGACATGCACAGTGACACAAGGATTAGCTGGGGGACACAAAAGTTGTGTATGGGGGAATCATTTAAAGAAATGTAACAGAATTCTAGAAATATCTACATGTCAAAATGAGAATATTATTATGAGTGTTTGTTAGAATTACGTAGCACCTGTTGATTTTTTTTAACTAGTCACAACTTAATTTTCCTAAATACTGATCTTGAACATATAGCGAGAGATAGACTGTGTGCTCCTTGAGACAAACAAAAGATGGGAGAACTGAACAACATCTGTCTCCATTTTACAGAAAACTGAGGGGAATAGAGGCATGTTGTGAATTGCCCATGGTGGCACAGGGCATCTGTGACAGGGCCAGCAAAACCATACTTCATTTTCACTGAGCCATACAGATTATCCTTATGAATGAATTGACAAAGCACTCCTAACTTCCACCACCACTTGAATCTCTGACAGCAGGAATTTTATATATAAATATGTGGTGACAGCTAATCCAATTTGTTATTACCCTGCCAGTTTCTTTGGAGAGGGTTTTTTGTTCCTGCATTAAAGCAGGAATAAGCTACTGCATCCACTAGCAGTTATTTTCAATACAATGTTCAGTGATCAGAATGGAATACTAGAGTGTCAAGTACTGTGTAGTATGGGGGAGCTTGTAAGAGCTTGTTTTCCCGATATAACCAGTATGTCACTCAACAATGAAGAGGTTCGTGGGAGCTATAATTTCAGACATTCAGAATAACACATAGTCTGAGAATTAAATTGCCATATTTCGATTATAAAGAGAGATTTTGTGTTTGTGAATACTGATCAATAGCAAAGGCTACACAAGCAAAGGATTAATGGTATATATATATATATTATATATATATGCAATAAGGAATCACAATTTAAAAAAAAAAAGTTTAGAAGAAGTTGTGGTTTATTTGGAGATATCTCACAGCTTGTCTAAATCTCTATGGTTTACTGATATCCCTGACACTTTGTGAATGAGGGCTTTTTAATTTTCCCTTCATTTGTTTAGCTCTTTACCTAATTGATTTTCTGTGCTAATACACTAAAGGTCTAAAGAAGGCAGAGCCTCAGGTGTGACAGATGAAATAAGGTGCTTTTAGTCATTGCTTTTATCTTCCATGTCTAATGTGTTGGTTACAGCTGTGCAGTTTAACAGCAAAATCAATACATCATTTGCTGCAGGTACCTGAAAGAATTTGGAAGCCTGTTTGTATTTTAACTATTAGGTTTCCTCCGTAAGACTTCTTTTTTTTCTGAATTCAACAGTTACAGAAACATAGTTCTCTGTGTGTACATGGTTCTCTCTCGCTCTCTCTCTCTCTCTCTCTCTCTCTCTCTCTGTGCTATTTATCTCATTTATCCTTAGTTTGTCACTGGGAATATCCATCCATATGGCTGAACTATTGTAATTGCCTATTCCCTGGGTAAAATGCTGTCATATGCATCCTTCATGTGAATATTTTGAAAGTAAAATTCAAAACCATGTGTGCAAAATATGAAATCTAAATAAGAAACTGCTTGCATGACAATTGCAGTACATTAGAGATACTGCTGTTTAGGTGCACAGTCAGCTGAATTGGACATGCAGCTGTAGATTTTGCATTAATGCTTGTACTCACACATGCCTAATTTGCAGGCACAGCCTCATTGCTTATTTTTGAAAAGGTGGCCTTTTGAAATTACAGGTGCCCAAACACCAGAAAATGTCACTGAAATTGGCTTTAACTATAATAAAAT